TCCATTCACGAATGTAGCGTTTGTTGGAAAGAGCGAACGAACCGCTTGGGCTCCTACAAAACTACAAGAGGTTCACATACACACATGCAGTGAATGTTGTATCACTCGTTTATGAAGGGGCCCACATTCGATTTTCAGTAAAGTATAATTTTTTATTTTCCTTTAGCAGTAATAAGAAAATTTGGTTCAACAAGTTTAAGACTTTGGCCGGATTCTTTACCCCTTAGAATCTGAAAGTTTTTTGGGGTTTTTTGTAGTTTAAGAATTCCTGGTATTTTGAAACGCAGCTCTTATCTCCAATTTTTACCAGGGAAACTGAACTAAGTGCCAACTGAATGCAGCACTCATGAGCCGTGGGCATGGCAAGAGAGCGTTGTGGGCAGGGCTCATGAGTTAATGCCGAGCAAGAGCGACAACGTAGACGGCTTCGTTGCCGCTGACGTCACTGGCGCTTTATAATTCCCATTAATTCCTACGGCTCTCGGCTAACGAGCACACCCCTCCTTTTCCTCCAGTCTCCGGTTCCGTTTGACAGAAATACCTACGCTTATAGCTTGACTCCTAATTTATTCATTTTCTTTATTTTTTCTTTCAGTGACTCAAATGTTACGAATAGGACTGCGAAGAAAGGCAAACCTTCGAGAACAATGGTGCGTAACTACGAAACTTCTTATGTCATTTTTCAGCTAACAACTGATAATAATAAATGAAACAATCGGAGCATCCTCTTGATAGTTTAAATAGCATATATTTTAGCTCATATCACACATTATTTTTTTATTTCTCTTGACGGCAATACTCCAAAACCATGTTTCATGTTTGCGGTGTGTTAAAATCTTCACCCCTATTCTATTCTTTTAATGGAGAGCAAATGAATATCATTCCTTGAAGTTTTCTCAGAATTTCCCCCGTACAGACAGGAAAAGTGGCGGCAGTACATCCGTCGAGCAGTTTTTAAATCAAGAACTAAGCCACGCCAAGAAGTCCGCTAAGTCACAAACTGAGATTCGTGGCTTCGGAGTTACACTGTCAATGTGAGCATTTTGATCCCCTTTCGATTTTTCCGTTTTCAAAGTTAGTTTTAGAAAACAAACCAATTTCCATGCTTTTCACGGCTACCAAGAAGTAAAACATTCAATGTTTGTACAGACTTAGAATATGACCCCAGTTTTTCATTATCAATTGATAAGATTGTGAATGTCCTCACACGAGCATTTTAAAATTGTATTAAAATTTTGTATTCAGCCATCACCGCCGAGTTATAGTATAAAAGTTAAACACACTTGCGAAGTAATAATACAAAAATTGAAGGTAGAACGACTAATTAAATACTCCATATTTCTTTCCTTACAGTCTCTTCTCAACGGAGCTTTGAACATATTAAAAAGGAAAGACAGCAGCGGTAGCAGTAAGAGCAGGTAAGGAGATACTAGTGGGCTATGCCCCCTGGCCGCTACGCGGCCCAACCCCCAGAGGGCGCTTCGCGCTCTCTTACGCCCGTTTTGGCAAAAGACTGACAAAAAAAAAAAGAAGAGAGTTTCATACCCGACTTTCATTTGTCCAATCCCCCTCTGGCCGGGAGCGATTGGATCAATAAGAATCGAATAAAAAAACTGGCTAATAAAAATAAATTCAAACTTCGCACGGTCTGCTACATGAAAACGAGTTATTCGAAGCTATTTCAAGTTTCTTGGAGAACTGGAGCATGTTGAAGCAAGTTGGAGTTTAGAAAATATAATTTGCCTTTTTAAAAAATTGAATCGTTTAAGTCAGAGCCGGTTCTGTCACCTGTGATTAAATCTGATCGATACTTGATCAATAGCCATGCGTTTATTCCTTGGACAGAAACGAGACCATTCTATCCGCACTCTTTTCATCGGTCACATCCCATTTTTCATTCTATATAGTATCGAGAAAAATTGCGGCAAATTGCCGCCAAGTATGGTTACACTACTAATAAAATTTTTATTTGATCCGTTTTAAGACCATCTCATGCGACACACATACCATAAGAAAAAGAATGCATAGGTCAATTGGACGTATTTCTGCAAACCGGAACTATGTGCATTATCACGTGAGCCATTGTGTGCCTATATTCTAGTGGGTCTCAGGGCTCATGTCTTCACCCACATCGTTTCGTTTGGCAGAAACACGTCAAACTGCAAATCAGCTCCGGTAGATGTCATAATTTGTCACGAGCAATTCTTGAACGGAACAGAGAAAAAGTGAGGAATGGATCGAGGAACGTTTGTGATTAGCTGCTATCCAATCAGAAATCAGGATTTTTTATCCTGTGACGCAACCATTTGACAGGTTCTTAAAGTACGTGTCGGATACTCTCCGATTTCCTCTTCCGTGGAGCTTTTGACCAGGAGTTTGAGGTTACAAACAGTGATAGAACGCTGCTATCGCGGTGATTCCCTTTCAGATCCTTCAGTGTTCGAAACTCACAGGCGTCAACGCGCCAAATGCGCCTAAAAAATCGGCCATTGCGCCTAAAAAATGAAGGCTCTGCACCATCGTGGCCCCTAAAAATTGTCCCTTAAAAATCTGAATTATCATAATAGGTGATTATTCGAAATTTTCAGCACCGCAAGTGAAAGCTTGTTCTATTCTTCACGATTTCATCCTTAGTGCTTTTGTCTTACCCAAGTTACAGCTACTTACGAGTTCTGTTACTAAAACATTTGCGTCCAACTTTTCACTCCATGCGCCGTAATATATAGGCAACAAGTCAATTTGGCCCCTAAAAATCTTCAATGACGCCTAAAAATCGGGCTTGATGCTCCACATGGCTCCTAAAACTCAAAGGTGAGTTTCGAACACTGTCTGATTCGAATAGACTTTTTGTTTATTATGAATCAGACTTTTGTAGTACAAGCTTGAAATTAAGTATTTTAACCCAAAATGCGTAATCTAGGGATGATAAACGAAAACTGACCTTACTTTATGGTGTTGCTTGGCTGATATTCTCGCAAAAAAATAAGAATGAGTCTTCATCGCGCCCCATGGAAATATTTTGATGATCAATAATTACACGTTACATCCAGTGGCGAAGAGTGAATGATCGATTATCGATATTCCCCCATTTGAAGCTATGATAAAAAATCGATTGTCAAGGTGTCCGTTCCGAACACCCTCTTAATCGATAGTTTTACATAGGTTTAAACGGCGGACCAATCGATACATCGCAAAGCACGCCACGCCACTGGACGATACTCACTCTACCGTGCTAAGGAAGAACGCCGTATGAACAATCGAGAGTTGCCAAATTTCCTTCGATCAAATGTTTATTTTTGGGGTAGGTTATGAATATTTGTCCTTGACATTTTCAGGAACTTCAAGTAAAATTGCGAACAAACTTATCTGAGAAATTGGAAGGAGAATATTCATAAGTTTACCAGGAAATTCGTGTTTTATCAAAGGAAATTCTGCAACTCCTGAGGGTTCATACGGCGTTTTTCCTTAGCACGGCAGCATTGTCAACCTCATCACCAGTGGCGTGGCGTGAATGATCGATTATCGACATTTCCCCATTTGAGCTGTGGTAAAGAATCGATTATTAGGGTTTCCGCTGTGAACACCCTAATAATCGATTCTTCACCACAGGTTTAAATGGTAGATCAATCGATACATCGCAAGGCATTACGGTTCATTGCTCGTTTCAGGAGAGGCTCAAGGCCCATCAGCCGGAACTGGTCGAGGTCGCCGTCGCCAGAGCGATCAAGTTCCTTCCGGGACGAAGGAAGCTGCAGGGCCGATAGCGGTTCCACTTCAAACAGGTTCCTGGACGAAGTGTGTCCCGGTTACGCGATGGGACCCGATCAGCTGACCAGTCAGGGCAGACAAGAAGTGGCGGCGGACATCGCGCAGCTCAAGGATAAATACTGCGGAAGAGAAATGACTCAGCAGCGAGGGCAGAGCTTTAAAAATGAAATGCAGGATCTCGGGCAGAAATATTGTCCTGGCGGCAACGTGAACCAAGAGCTTATCCGACCGGCACCGCCCCCCGATGCCTCCACCCCGAACATAGACCGTTCCCAGTTCTACAACATGATCAGGAGTCATTTAAGCTCACTCTCGCCAGAAACCCCCACTCCGAACCCACCACCAATGAGCCCATCGCGTCCTCCGAGCCCACCACGTCCTTCGAGCCCACCACGTAGCCCATCGCGTCCTCCGAGCCCACCACGTCCTCCGAGCCCACCACGGTTCCTACCACCCCCTCCGACTCCGAACTTGACTCCGAACCCTGACTACGGGGCGTCCTTCAGAGCTGTGAGGATGTCGCAGTCTGTCGACCTCACCCCGCCTCCGCCGCCGCCGCCGCCGCGAGCCATCTCGGCGGGAGACAAATACGAGGAAATGAGTAGGTGGATCACGGATGTGTGCGAAGAGGCGCCCCCTGGTGCGACGACCAAGTCGCCCTCGCGGTCGTCGCCCCTCAGATCGCCGAAGAGGCCACCTCAGACGCAGACGCCCGAATCCGCTGGAACCCCGTATGACGAGAAGATGCGGAGGAGACTAATCCAGATCGCAGCTGAGGATCACTTGGAAAGCAGCAGAAAGCCGAAGTAGAACGCAGCCACTGTTGCCAGATATTACCGAAAAATTAGCACTATTTCCATTTAATATTTATGGTGAAACTTAATAAAATTAAAATAAAAATAAGTTCAAGGCAAACCACGATGCTATTCATTTTATGTACCGTTTTATGTTCATTTCATGCTATGCCACTTGTTTACTTGTCACTTGTCACTTGTCCTATCAATGATTGTAACTTTTATTATATGAATGGTTTATTTTATTTTATTTAATTTGATATTTAATCTCAGAATTGATACGTAATTGCCTTTGCCACGTAGCTCCTCACTTTCCTTATTTAGTTGCTTTGTAGTTTCTTTGTAGTTTTGCATGTGTTGCCCTTGTGTTATGTAAGCCCTGATGATGGGGCCTGGGGTCTCGAAAAGCTTCGGCATGTAAGTAATTAAAGTATACATAAAATGAATAGCATCGTGGTTTGTCTTGAACTTATTTTTATTTTAATTTTAAGTTTCACCATAAATATTAATATTTCAGATGCTACTTGTCCAAAAATGTTTGTTTATTTCCATTTAGGTCCGTGTAAAAGCACCGTTGTGCAAAGGGAAAACGCCGTAAACGCAATTTTACATTTGGATTGCATTTTGCAAAAAGGAACCGAGAGCATTGCACTGTCGCTAAGTTTGTGCAACTTTTTTTTATCTTGTAAATATAAACTGATTATCTAAACAAGTTTTATCTTTACCCCCAATAAACTATTGATTCAAGATGAAAATTACCTTTAAATTACTTAAATTTTAATTAGAGAATTAATTAATTTTTTTTGCATGATTTCAGTAATTTTATTGCAAAGAATGTAGTTATTGGAATTTCCCTAATTTATAACTCCTAATCATGATCACTTATACTAAAAATAACGAAGAAATGCATTTTTACACATTCAATTTTGTTGTTAATACTTAATATCTGTTGAGCTGGAAAGGGTGTTGAGAGAGAAAATATCGACGGTGAAACTACGAGACCACGTATCTCGTTTCCCGTGAATTAAAATCCCATTTTAGGTTTTTGAAGGGGAACAAATGAGTATCATTCCCCGAATTTTTGACATACAGAGGAAAAAAATCGAGGAAAGTTTCAAGAATTGACGTTGAGTGATTTTCCATTTAAAAAATACCTAAAATGTGGTTCGAAGGCTGCAAACCGAGATACGTGGTATGGCAGTTTCATAGTCAATAGACGGACACATGAGAGATGGTAAAATTCCACGAAACAATTGAAAAATTTCGAAAATTCGTCGCAAGCGAATACAGAAGTGAAAATTCTCTAAGCAATTATAAGGAAATAGGGTGCGAAAAGACTGCACATTTTCCAGACTGAACATATGTCACAACCTTTGTCAGTCTGTTTCAAGTTGGCTGAGAATGTTGCGGTTAATGGTTTTCGAGCCCATGACCTGAATCGAAATCAACTGTTGAGTTATTCCGGGTTTTTTTTTACACTTTTGTAACGTTGTTCGAGTGGGGTATCAAGAACGGGAGAGGGAAAGGGGGACTTGTGCAGGATTTATGCCACGTGTTTTTAGAATGAAAAATTGTATCGTGTTGTGTACTTACTCAGATTTTATTTGACTAATAACCGTTGGAATGTTCGCCTTCAAATTTGGTAACACTGTACTTCGCATGCTGACCTCATGGAGGACATCTGAATACTCGATCGAAAATTCCTCCGTAATTTTTTTCAAAAGCTGGGAAAACTTCTTCCTTAACTGCTTTGGCACCATCTAAGAAAAATCAATTGAATATGAATAAAAATAAATAAATAAAAACAAACGTATTATTTTCATCTCACCGGATTCTGTAAGCAGATTTATTTATTAGATAACTTATAGTTTCTTGAAGAATGAGTCTGTCACACAAACCACAAAATTTTTTGAGATACCTAATGGGGCTGTTGCATGTACGTGATCCTGGAATTGCTTAATAAAAAAATGTGTAACCTATGTAAATTTCAGCGAACACTTCCCCGAGCTTAAAAAAGCTCAAAACAGCTGTTTGACTGATAAAAAGGAGCTTAAATGGATAGTAAGTCGTGGTGATGTGAAGAACGTTTTTCATTGGCTGTCTCCGTATGATGTCGTAAAACGTGTCGATCCTTGGTTTCCTCATTTTATATGTACTTAACGAAAATGAATTCAAAAAAATGTGCAACAGCCCCATTGAGTTTTGAGCAAGAAAACTGAGACAAGCACATATTCTTTGATTCTATCCCTGCATTTGGTGGAAATTTTTTCTTTCGGAACTCACCATTTACGTTTGGACAGTCACTGCATGCAGTTACCCAGGTAGCAGTAATCGCGCTAAGTTGCGATTTGATTGGAGAATGTATCGCAATATTATCGACGTCAATTTATGGCAATATTATCGCAAATGCGATTAAGTGCGTTTTCATCGCAGAAATTTGCAATAAAATTGCGATTTTACCAACGGCTATTTATCGCAAATTTATAGAACGAAAAATAGTGATGAATTGATATATTTTATACAGATGAAATTGCGACAAGATCGAGGATGATCGCGTAGATGTTGATGATCCCAGCGATTTTATCGCCCAAAATATCGTGAACTACTCAACGTCAATTTTTACGAACTTCTGTAATCCCTAGATGAGCCCGCTTTAATCAGAATTTGAAAATAGAACCCAATTACAAGAGTAGACCAGAGAGCTCACGATTGAGCACAGGGGAGAATTTCATGAGCGCCGCCGCCCGCGGCGCACTATGGTCCAAAACTCAAGAGTGGGAAGGAATAAGTCGGATAATGACTAAAAGATCACGAAATTTTCGTAACTGATGTTTTTTGGAGTCGCTAAATTCGAATTAGATGTTAAATTGCCTACATTTTAACACCCTGACCTATTAATTGTGCGCAAGTTTGTGGCACGCTGCGGCGCGGCGTGCTGCCAGTTCGAAACGCGCACTGACGCCTACAAACCTAAGGGGATACTTCAAGCATTGCGCAATGCGTGAAGTAGCCCTTTAGGTTTGTAGGCGTCTGTGAGCGTTTCGCGCTAGCATCACTACTAGTCCAGGCGCCTGGTAAGTCTACCTGGAATTTTGGGTACACAGCGATTTTTTTGGCCTACTTTATGTTTTTTGGGTCGCTGAATCCGAATCTGAAGTTTCCGCACGCGTATCTGGTGAGCATTTTCCGCTATTTTGAAAAAA